AGAAAGAGCAAGCGGCTCGGTGATCCAGTGGTTAGCACGTCGACCTCACAGTGCAGATGTGCCGGTTCAAATCCAGCTCCGGCCTCCTTGTGTGGAGTTTGCATGTTCTCCCCGGGTCCGCGTGGGTTTTCTCCGGGTACTCCGGTTTCCTCCCACATTCCCAAAACATGCATGGCAGGTTAATGGAACACTCCAAATTGTCCCTTGGTGTGAGTTGAGCGCGGATGGTTGTTCATCTGTGTGTGTGCCCTGCAATTGGCTGGCAACCGGTTCAGGATGTCCCCCGCCTACTGCCCAAAGACAGCTGGGATAGGCTCCAGCACCCCCCGCGACGCTTGTGAGGATAAAGCGGATTGGAAAATGGATGGATGAATAGATAGATAGATATAGGTATAGATATATATTCATTTGGGGAAATGCATACCTCCGTTCACAAACAATAGCTTAATAATAACTTCACATTGTCATTATTATTATGAGCCTTCTCAAAAAGTGAAAACTGTGGCCAATTTGGATGGTTGGTTCTCTAAAACCATTTCCCCAACATTGTCCAGAAACCACGCGCTCTCATTTTCAGTTCCACTATCTTTGATCATAAGAAGCACGATGGAATGAAAGGATGAGGGCGTGATCAGGGACCAAATTGGGTACCATTCATCTGTTAAGTATCGTAGGATGGCGCTGCGGCGCAACCATTTGTTGTGTGTAATAGCACCCCCCTGTGGTCATGTCTAGGCTTTGCCGTTCGTTGGTCGAGGCACTGCAGCGGGTCTCTTCTGATCAATTCGCTATCTATGTAAATCAGAGCGTGCAGTCCCGATTCTAGGATAATGCCGTAAACTGGCAATTACAACAAAAGTAGACAATTGTGGAAAAACTCTGAGTGGATTATCAGGAACACTTAACTGAATTCTGAAAAACAAAACCGTAATTGAATTGTTCCACGACATTTTACTAATTTATTCCAAACAGATTACTGTCTCCATGTCGCTTCTCTATGTTTATAGAATATTAAACGATATATTCTAATGAAAACAACCACAATGCCCCAGTTTTGTTTCCTCTCAAATACGTGTCATCAGGCGTCTTAAAAGGGTGAGCAGTTGTACTTTATTTCAGTAGAAAAGTAGTGACTTGTCTTTATCGTTGCCCGGGGTGAGCAGTTGTACTTTATTTCAGTAGAAAAGTAGCGACTTGTCTTTATCGTTGCGTTAAAGTTAACCCTTTCATTGAGCCTGATAACATGATAAACTGTCCACTGTACGCTGTCCCTAAAGGGTTAAATACTTGAAAAAACGTTGTTGGTTTTATTCATGACAAATTAATAAACATCTTAATACCACCGCTATTACATCATATTTTTTGAACACAAAAATAATATGCAAACATGCAATTTACCGTAAAAGCACACAACTGTGCCACTTCCCTGGAGCAGTACAGAATCAATATCAATCTAAAAACATTTTTTACATCTAGTAAAATATCACATATAAGAGAGATGCTGATTATTGAATGTATTCATTCATGCATGCGTGTCTTTTGCTAGTTGAATTTGGCTTGCTCTGACCAATCAATCAGTGGATGGAAAAATGCTGACATCATCTCGGGTCAGTGTTCTGGCCCTGCGAGGACAAATTTGACATCCGGTTAAAGAAACAGCCCTATTGCTAACATACATTAGGCTAGTTTAAGTTACATTGGACAGCACTACTGATTTTGAAGGGACCGGAACGATTAGATTGATATGGCAACATGTAGAGGCTGAAATCTGGGAGGGAAAAAAGGCTATATATTTCAGGTTGGATATTTATTTTCGGCTACCAAATTCATACTTGCTTCCCTATAGTCAAAAGGGAAATAGTGGATTATGTGCATGTCTGTGTGTTTTGTGCATGTGTGTACTACCGCGGTTTCCACAACAGATGCAGCTGTCCAGCCACGTTGGACTTCGTCTATGTCACTAAGATGCTATTTTTGGCACATGTGTTGTTAGAAAGGTCAGATAAAGAAGCAAAGGCATCCTCGGGAAAGCGAAGGAAGAGGGTGTCGGGTGAATGGAGCAGAGAGACAACGGAGAGCGCAGAGCTGCATTGAACAGGCTTGTTGAGAAATCTCAACTAATTTAACTTCTGCTGCAATGGATGGAGACGCAGTGAACCAGGAGACACTTGAGTTTTCAGAGGGGGCAAGTCAGACTGACTCAAGCGACAAGCAGCAGGTTGACGTGTTTCTGTATCATCAGTAAATGATAAATGTTCTTTTAAAATGCCGAGTTGTCTTCGTCCTTACCGACAGGACTGCATGACGCTAACACAAACATTCGCTACTGGATGATGTAATTATGTCAATTACTTTTTGCTATGGTCTCAAAGTGTGTAAAGATTCATCATGTATCAAGAAACGAGGATCTAGGATGCTACATTTCAATGCTCCAACCACAGTATGTTTCACTCACATGACATCACTACATAAACTAATCCTACTATTACTTAATACTGATGATTATCAGTGTGGTACTCCCACTAGTGATCCGTGAATTTATTTGTATTTACTTTTCAAATCAAACATATTTGCATGTAATATCTTAAATTTATTTAATTTATTTGGGATTTTTTGGGGACTGTTTGTCCCCAAAAAATCCCAAATTTAAGATCAGTGTTAATGTTTAAATGCGCAAAATGTTATGCTGTTTACAATAATATTAAAAATACATTTTAGAGATGTCGAACACTTTGGCCGACTGTGCAACTATTTTTGTATGTTGATTGTGGTACTCAGGCAGACAGATAACTTATTAAGTGGCACTTGGTGTAAAAAGTCTGCGAATCTCTGCTCTTTACCCGGCGAGGGAACAGAGTAGAAAAAGCAATAGCTGTATTCGAAAGTGTAAATGCAATTTTAGGCAGTAATCTATGACCGACCACTCATATTGTGGAATTAAACTTATAAAATAATATGAACCCAACAAAACGGAAAGTGTTATTTGAAAGGTAAAAAAAAAAAAAAAAGAAAAAAAGAAGTTGAGCTGTGGCATATGTCTGTACAGTAAAAATTGTCAAGCTCAGATATTTATTAAAAAAATTTATACAGTATAATTAACATCCTCATATTGCATCAGTATCAGATCTTACAGAAAAAAAATGCCAGTATGGGCAATCCAGCTCAAATATTAGCAATAATCTAACATTAAAGCAACAAAAGAAGAAATAGCAATTGATGATTTTCAACATTTGCCACTTTTATAGAAAGACAATCCACATATGACTTTAATGTCACTGCTGTCCAACTAAAAAAGCTTGCATGCACATTATTTATTTATTTTCAGTCTCAAACTCAAATAAAAATAATCCAACCCCCAAATGTATCTCTTTTTTTTTTTTAGCGCGACGAAAATAAAGAAGATAAATCAGATATCTGTTGTTAACCCGCCCCTTGAGAGTAGATGCTGACTGTTACGATGTAAAATGTCTAAATCGAGAAGCTCCACAAATCCCAAAGTGGTGTTTCCCATCTCGCGTTGCATGACTACTTGCTGAGGACTGTCAGATCTCCAGAGGACAGCGCTGACTAATATTAGCTGCTCTTACTTCAAACTATAATCTCGAGTCTGGAGTGTCAACATAAATATCTCTCCTCCTCCTCCTCCTCCTCACATTAGCAAGGCAACAAATGATGATCCACCACTGGAGGTTTTCCTAACCTTTAATGACCCAAGGCACATATTTTACAACACAGTTATATGATATCAATGATTTATATGACTTAATCCACCTCTTAGTATCATCACTATCACCTCGCCGTCATAGAAACCATTAATATATACACAAAATGAGAGCACACAGCTTTGCCATGTACATCATGTGGAGTAGTTCAGAATTAATACTAATCTGTTAATCTGCTAATGTAGTTTAAATTATGACATTAATTGACAGCACGAGTGACTGTGAAGGCCCTGGGCAGATTAGTTTGATTTCGCCATTCACCTAGGTTGAAATCTGATTTCACAAAATAAATAAATAAATAAATAAATAAATAGGAATACATACATGTCATACAAAACAATATAATAGATGGATCAAATGTGTGTGTCCCGAATGACGGGTTTTCACAGAAGCAAGCCATCACTTGGCCGATTTTGCTTGTTTTCACTTGTGTGCAAAGATTTGAGATCCGTATGCTAGATGGCAGTGGCAAACCTCAGAGTAGCAGCAAACTGATACATAGTGAACAATTCTTCATTAAAAAAAAAGTGGTCAGGTGCTTGCTTCAAATTGTTTATTGCCACTTTCAGTTGAAGTTTACTCTAAAGCTGAGCAGAAAACAAAGAGAATTGCAAGTCATGTATATAACCACACCACATTACTTTGCCTCGTCGAAGTTTGCTGGCTAAATGCTGACACACAATGCAACACTCCATAGACTGGCTAAGGAAACTAGCATCAATGGTACAGTACAGTACTTCAAAACTTTTAGACTCATTATATTTGAAAATAAACACTGGCGCACATGTAGACAGACAAAAGAAAACTACCCGCATGCATATATTCTTTGTCCTCTAAAAAAAAGGGTGAATGTTCCCGCAGCTTGGTTGTGGTGATTGTCTTCTGTGTTTCATCATCAAATCTATGGGGAGCATCTATGTGTTATTTATGTTTTTAATGTATTTTTTTATAAAGTACAGCACTGTACAGAGTTTGGATTGAGCTTGCAAATGCAGTTTAGTGCCTTTGAAAGTGTTTAGGCCAACAGAGACAGACTTGCAGGCCCTGACCGCTCACAACCTCATCAGTGGAATGTGCAATGACTCTGTGGATTAAGTCCCTGAGTGAGTTGTGTGTTGATTGCCATGCAGAGAGATGAACCAGAGCTTGTGCAGAACACCGGCCCAAAAGGTGGGACTCCAGAAAAGGCCGCGGTGGAAGGTCAGGGGCTCAAAGCAGAGGTGAAGGAGGACCCCACACCACAAGTGGGGGGTGAGGAGGCTGCAGACACACCCCCACTATGGACAGCTGCTTCAAAGTCGGTTGAAGGTGTCACTGAAGGCACAGAACAAGACGGGAAGGACACTGGGGAGAAAGAGAAGGGGGATGATAGGAAGGAGGTCAAAAATAGAGATCTCGGGGAGAAGAAGGTCAAGAGCAAAGAGAAAGTTGAAGAAAACGTAACTGAAGATAAAAGTGTTGTTCAAAAGCCAGAAAAGGTGGAAGAGGAGAAAAAACAAGTCAAAGAAGATCAAGCAAAAGACAAAGAAAGGCTAAAAGAGGCTGAAAAACAAGGGAAGGCCAAGAGAAACCCAAAAGCCACAGCTCAAGTTCTGTCCCGTCCGAGACCCTCAGCTCGCTCTGGCCGAGCATCCAAAAAGAGTGACATCATCGCTAAGTTCCAACAGGGCGCACCTGAGTGAGTCACCAAACATAAGAAATACACACATTAAAATTTCTATTTATCTATCGCTCGATCGATCAATCTATCTAGCCGCAGCGGGTCTGTTGACCTGTCATTCATACAGCCATCTATCATTTATCTCTCCACCTTTCCATCTTCTCATCTATTCTTCCATTATCAATCTCACCACCTGTTTTTAATTCATTGTCCATGCCCATTTATCTATGCAGAATTCCATCTATCCAGGATTCCATCCATCCATCTATCCATCATCGATCTGTCAATCTGTCATCCAACTAACCCTCCTTTGATCATTCATCCACCATCCATGTTTTCATCTATCTGTCCATCAATCCATCCAGCACAAATCCACCTATTTATCTATCCACCCTTCCATATGGCTGTCATCAATCAATGCATTGATACATCTGTCTTCCATCCATCCATCCATCCATCCATCCATCCATCCATCCATCCATCCATCCATCCATCAATTTTTTTGTCAACCCTTCTATCTTTCCATTCATCCTTCTATCCATAATTTATCCATCGCAGCATCATCCATCTTTCCATCATCCACCTATCTATCCATCTTGTCTTCCATTCGCTATCATTTCCATTATTCCATCCATCATTAATCCATCTGTCTATCTATCCATCCATCCACCAACAAGAGATACTTTGCTATGTTTGATATGCTTCAGCACACATCTGTTTATGGCTTGTCTAGGACACCAATACCACGCAACTTCAAAATTCAGAAGTCATCCACAGCTTCAGCTACAGGGTCTTCCATCAAACAGAGAATTTTGCAGTGGTGCCGCAGCAAAACCCAACACTATCAGGTATGCTGTCAAATGACGATTCAGCATTATCCATCCATCCATCCATGTTCTAATCTGTATATCGTCACGAGTGTCGCGGGCATGCTGCACTATGAGGCGAACCTGCTAGCCAGTCGACCACTGTGTCGCCCCATTGAGCATTTTTTATTATTCATTCAAATGAAGACATAAAGCCTTCCCTTTGTCTTTCAGGGCGTAAACATAGAGAACTTCTCCTCATCTTGGTGTGACGGGATGGCTTTCTGTGCGTTGATCCACCGCTACTTCCCCGACGCTTTCGACTATAATGCTTTGAAACCCACTGAAAGGAAAAAGAACTTCACTCTGGCCTTCCAGACTGCAGAGTATGCATCTATCTATCTATCTATCTATCTATCTATCTATCTATCTATCTATCTATCTATCTATCTATCTATCTATCTATCTATCTATCTATCTATCACCTGCCTACTGTATATTTCCCCACAAGCATCCAAAAATCTCCTTTCTCATCCATCAATCATCAATCTATTCATTCATCAGCTAGCTCCATCCAGCTAGCCATTTACAGTGTTTATCTGTACATACATGCATTGATACACGCAGACAGAGTTTACCCATCCACCGATTAGTAACAGCCAACATCTACCCATTTCTCTGTCTATCTGCCCCCATTATCCATCCATGATTGAATTCTCTCATGCCGTTGTTCTTTCTTTCTCCATGTGTGGCTCATGCACCTTTTCCCCCAGGTCGCTGGCCGACTGCTGGCCACTGCTGGAAGTGTCTGACATGCTCATGATGGGCAACAACCCGGACCCTATGTGTGTGTTCACCTACGTCCAGTCCCTGTGTCACAGCCTCTCCAAACTGGAGAAAGAGAAGAAGGACAAAGATGAAAAAGAGAAAGAGGAGAAAGAGACGGAGGAGAGAGTCAAATTAGATGAAGAGAAGGATGAGAAGGGAGAGGATGCTTCCAAACAGATGTCAGTGGACAAGGATGAAGCCGATCATGCTGAGAATGGGACACTGATGAGTGGCCAGGAGGAGGAAGGCGGAGATAGCTCAGAAACAAGTAGAAAGGAAGAAAAAGCACCAAAGAGTTGTGAGACGGAGGGAGATGGAGGAGTGTTTGTGGAGACAGAGTCCTAGGAAAGAAATGACCCCCTCAAATATTTTTTGCTCAAGGGTATTGAAAAACGTCTTAGTTCGTTGTCGGTTGACACTCTCACTTATATAAGCTATCTCATGGTTATTTTTGTAAAAGCTGATGTTTTGTTCCTATGCAAATGAAGAAGACATCTGCCTTTAAATTCTAATGATTGTGTATTCTAAGAAAATAAATGAAACTATCAATCGTTTTTCATGATTTAAAGGCCCATTTAAGAGTCCCAGAATGGATGAATAACACTGTGATGGACAATGAGAGATGATTAAAGTCACAGTTGTGTGATGAATGATATATTGAAGATTTGAACAGTTTGTAGTGTGGTTGATACAGGGGTGAGAAAGATGACTCGAGAGTTTAATGCAGCACATATAAGTAAACAGGGGACGAATACAAATTACTTTGATTTATATAGCGCCTTTGACAGGACCCTACAACACAAAAGCTATTAACGTGCATTTGCGTGTGTGTGTGTGTGTGTGTGTGTGTGTGTGTGTGTGTGTGTGTGTGTGTGTGTGTGTGTGTGTGTGTGTGTGTACAATTTTCAAAAGAGGTTTAGGGTTTCAAAGTAAGGTTGGAAAATATGGCTAGAGTTTCAAAACAAGGTTTTCTGCCTGGCTTCTGCTTTCATTGTGTATCATCCTGAGTTAGGGTTTGTAGCTGGGTTTCAAATCACGGGTTTAAAACAGGGTAACCATTTTAGACAGCCAGGTTGTGTTTGAAGGCCATTGTGAGGGTTTCTTTCCTTCCTTAAACAAGTTATTTCAAATACTGGACGTTTGTTCCACCTTGTAATTAAGAAAAGAAAGACTTGAAGCGAAGCAATGTAAATATGTCTTTCATTTGTCATATCTATTAAAGTTGTTGGTCAAGAAGAAGGAGACGAGGAAGAAGGGGTGGCGGCCGTGGCCGTAGCATTACGGTAATTACCAGCGTCACATGACGGAAGTGCCATTGTGTTATAGCTCTTGGCAGGCTAAAGCTAATCTAGCCGCTGTAGCGTAACGTTTCACATCTCCGACGGATTTTCTACCGGCAGCGCCCTGACTAATGTCAACAAATATGCCAACGGACAATCTGAATCTCGAGTCACAGCTTTTATCCATCATGGACGTGCTGGTGAAAGCGGCGGTGCTGGAAATAAACCAGCTATTCTCGGAGAGCTCAGCGTCCCTACGGCTGCACCTGAGCCAGAGTTTGAGGGACAACGAGAGCCTGAGGATGAGGATGAAAGCGATGAGGAGCGAGATCTTCTCCCTCCGCCTGCAGACCAGGAGCAATCGGCCGGCCAGCCGTTTCTCCATCTTCCGTGCTAATGTGACTAAAGCCCGGAGCAAAACACCAGGTAACCAAGCCACATAAAAAGTTGTAGTCATACAATGTGGTTATTTGCGTTTAATTACAAAGATTAATCGATTTGCGTAAACCCGGTATTACTGGACCGTTCTTTTACAGACAAGTCCAGTAATGTCGGTATCATTTCCCTGTGACTAATATTCAGAAAGTTGTGACAGTTCAACACAGTTTGGCCAACGTCTAAATGCAGAGTCAATGGGAAAGGGGGGGGGGGGTTGTAGAATTTTTGGAGCATTTGAGTTTCAAACTTTTTCGTAACTTCATTAATCTCTATCCTGTTTTTTTCAAAAGACTGTAATCATCAAAACGTTTGTTTCACAGAAACAGACCACATACAACAATGATTGGTTATTATTTCCAAATTATTAGTAGTTCCAAATGTCAGCATAACAAAATTCATTATTATTTGAAAACTACAATTAACATTAAATTGACCCTTTTAGTAAAGTAATATAATCTTCAAATGCAAAGTAATACAATACAGCAAATAAGTCAAATAATGACTTTTATTGCTGTATGTCATTTTTATAATAGGTGCCATGCATTAAAGACAGCAAATTAGGAGTCGAGAATGAAGATATTCCATATGTTGTTAATATAGCGACATTGTTAACAACAGATATGTTGTTGTTGTTTATCACTAAATAAACTGTAATGGGGGATGTTTTGTAATACACCTAAATGCTATATAAAAATTTATCAGATTAGTTGGTCAATCGATGTAATAATCGATAGATTTGTTTTGATGTATATTTTTGATTGGACTGGTTTCATGGGGCCAGTAGGCGTTTGCAATGGGACGGCCGTAACTGTTCAGTTTCTGAACCAACCAGGTTATTCATGATTTCCCCAATCCTGTGAGTCCTTTGCCTGACTAATGGCACATTGGGTGAGTTAGCAGACTCAGATGATGTGCTTCACTGGCTCGAGTTAGCGGACTCACTGAAAACAAAGTTAGCTTACTCAGATGATTTGACTCACTGATTTGAGTAAACACAATCACCGGAAACACAGAAGACACATGAATTGTTTCACTGATCTCACAAGTAATACATTTAATATAAAATTCTAAGGAACAAGTAGTTAGACACTATAGATGACATAGTTTTGATTCACTGGTGAAAACGACACTTTGATTCACTCCTCTTTCATCTATAACTGTTTCAAACAACAAAGTGTATGCAGGAAAAGTGGTTAAGATTGCACAACTGTCTGTGTCTGATGTGTTGTGTTGTATTTTGTCATTTTATGTAAACTCTGTTTTGATGGCAGCGCCGGCACCCACAGCGGCTCCTCTTGTTGTGTGATTGAGAGGGAAGAAATTTCATCTGTGTCGTATGTTGCACATAAGATAAGATAAGATAAGAAAACCCTTATTAGTCTCGCAATGGAGAAATTCCCATACAGCGCATTTGACAATAAAATTGTACTTGACTTGATTTGAGTTTATGCATATGCTATGATAATAATATTATCATTGGGGTCCAAGCACCAGGTGATGCGAAGACCTTCTTTGAATAGCAGTTTATTATTCTTGCAAAGAGGACCTAAATATACCCAAAAACTAACCAATTTTTCCAAACACATACTGTATATCCTGGTTAAAAAAAATATATAGATATATATATATATATATATATATATATATATATATATATAAGGGTCTTGGAAATGACCCCTGCAAAATCACTACTACAGCATCCACTGGAAACTGGAAAATTTCTGCTTTCAACTATATATATATATATGTGTCAAACATACGGCCCGTGGGCCGGAACCGGCCCCCGAGGAGGTTCGATCAGGCCCGCAGGATAATTTAAAAGTGAAAAACAGTTTTCTCCTTAGTTTATAAAATGTAGGCAGTAGAGGTAAGATCTTAAGCCCGACTCGACCCGGGTCGGGCCTAAAATGTCAATCATTGCTTCGACTCGGGTAGGGCCGGGCTTCTCTCTCGCTGAC